TTCGTGTTTCGGCCCGGCCCGGCCCGGCCCTTCACAAGTATGAATTTTTTAACGGTGTCTTTTGTTTTCTACGATAATGAGGTGTTCACGGATTCTTTTGGGGTTCACACCATATTGTGAATGGGTTGTCCTGGAAATTGGTTGTTGAGAGAAGCGGTGTTCCCCCTACACTTCTAATTAGAAGGCAATTATGTCTCTGTTCTTGGGCCTACCCTCTTCTTGTTATATATTAATTGTATTGGTGACAAATTTCAAAGTGACTATCTACTGTTTGCAGATGACTTGAAAATTTATGATACGAATGACAGATTGATTGATGCAGTTTTAATTGAATTGGAGAATTGGTGCTCGAAGTGGGAAATGAAAGCGGCTCCTAAAAAGTGCGAATACATCAAATTCAATGCAACAAGAAAATATGCCAACTCCAATGTTATGAATCCCAAATTAAATCAAGCTTTGATTCCCCTGTGGAAAATGTCCGTGATCTTGGGATCTACTTTTCCAGTAACCTGAGTTTCCATTATCATTATTCGTTGATTATTCGGAAATCACATCAGAGGATCAATATGTTCTTTTCCATTCTAAAAAACGCATCATGGAGGGTTTTTATAAAATGCTATACAATTTACATACGCCCTTTACTCGAATATGGAACGATAGTCACTTCTCCAATCCTAAAGGATCATATTATAAAATTGGAATCGGTGCAAAAGTCATTTGTTTTCAGAATTTTCCAAAAATTCAGGATGGCATACACTTCATACTTTGAAGCACTGGAAGAATGTCAGCTAAGTTCCTTGGAGTATCGCAGGCTCTATAATGATTTGGTCTACACGTATAAAATTATTGTTTCCAAAGAAATTATCATGGAGGTTCCAATTTTCGAAATATTTAATCATGCTGGATCATTGCGACGTCACAAATACTATCTCAAATCACTTATCAAAAACTCAACAAAAATATCTTGTAAAGCATGTGGTAAAGCATGCAAATCAACGAACTTGAATACTAAAACTTTGGACTAAAATATCTCGGCTGAAACTAGTGAGCGTGTTCTAAGATTTTCAGGGCTGTCTAGATAGGATATCCTTTACCTATCCTGAAAATTTCATCAAAATCCAAACTGACGAGGTGCTGTGGTTCCCTTGTTAGAGGAGGGTGTGGAAAGTGTGAGCTTTCGTTGCCGGCCGCCTCCTTCCGGTGTTGCCTCCTTCCTATTTTTAAAATAAATTTATCTAGGAAAACTGAGGAAACAGACATATAACAATACTTTCGCTCCAGTATCATTACTAATAACATTCACCAAATTCCGTATGTCCGGATGGATGTAGCGTGTCGGTTCACCCATTTAAAGTTAACCGATTGGGCTGAAACCTGGACAGGCGTTTCAGAATTTTTTATTAGTTTAGGCCCGATCCTTTCGTTTTTCAAAATTTAGATTTTGAAGCCTTCTGGGGATGTTCTTTGGTTTCACCAAAGTAAAGCGTGGTGGGCAGATAGGGCGATGGTGGAGGGCGAGAGAGAAAAAGGGGGAGGAAATCCCACACACGTGTACGCCATTTCTCCCACTCTTCCTGTGATGACCGAGTAGTGTATTGGTTAGCGCACTCCGCTTTTGCCCGCGCGATGCGGGTTCGAGTCCGATCGGTGGAAATTCTTTTTTGTTTTTTTAATCAAATCTCAAAAGTGATTTTGAAAAGTGGGTACATGATTTTTTTTTCTCTTCAATTCGAAAAAAAAACACAAAAAGAAGAAACTTTATGGATCAGTTTTTTTTTCGTTCAGAGTGAGCAGAAAACGTTCGAATGAAAATTAGGTAGATGAATCAGAAACGTTCAAGCTCTTACTTCTCTAGAAAGAGTTCCGAAGACCCTAAAATTTTGATGAGTAAAAAAAGCCGAAGGTCGAAATCCCGAATGTGAAACAGGTGCAACAGGCCCGGAAACTCTGACTTCAGCATCCCTTTGATTTTTTGCGCATGGACTAAAAAAGTTGCCGTGAACAGAGAACTGTGAAAAAAGCAAAAAACGGCGTACAATAGCAATTTTCAATTTCCGGATTAAACAATTTTCGAAGTTCCCGTTTTTCGAATTTTTGAATTAACTAATTTCCGAGTTTTTTAAATTTGCAAGAATCAGTAGAATTTTGTCTTTGCAAAGGTTTTTTTCCACAGAAGTTTGCCATACTTTCTTTGTTTTTATAATTCTTGAATCGTTTAACTTTTGAACATCCGAGTCTCCGAAGTTCAATTTCAATTTTCCAACTACTGGATATTCCCAAATTAACGACTTTTTTTTGGAAAAAGAATGTTAGAAACCCGGAGTTCCAGAAGTTCGAAAATTGAAAATTTGGAATGTAGAAAACTTAGAAAATCGGGAATTCGGATATTTAGAATGTCGGAAATTCAGAAACTTAAAAACTGAGAAACAAAAAAGATGTTTAAGAACTAAAGTTCCATATAGAATTACATATTAACTTCAAAATTTGAACTTGAAGTTTTTGAACTTTGGATTATTCGAATTCTATTACATCTGACAAACTTCTTCACAAACAAAAATGTACAAAGAATGATATAAACTGAAAGATTCTAAATGCATGGAAAGTTCCGAAGACTTCCAAAATACCCAGGCATTGGTTATCTTGGAAGTCTGGAGGAGGGGGAGGATATAAAGAATGATTGGGAAGATGGCTGGTCCCTATATATTCCTGGAAATGGACCCATTTGGGTAGGTAGATGAACACAGGTGGGACATCAGATGGGTAATGAGGGTTTAGGAGGCACCGTGGATATATAATTGTACTATTGCATATAATTGATCTTGTCTGTCAATTCCTCTTGTTCGTCTTTACCTGGTCATTCATTTGATATATCTAGGCACCACAACAAAATTTTCAAAATAGACTTTTCCCAGTTTTTATTGTTGGATTGTATTCTCCTACTTTATAGAAGTCCATTCCCTAAATTTCAGGGAAAAATCTTCATTCAATCCCGAGTTACAGCCCCTTTTATACCAGACCTCAATGTACTGAATTTCTCCTCATTTTTTTGCGGTGCGCAGAAAAGTGGGCGGGGCTTAGCTGCGGCGCGGTTTCATTGTGGCGCTATTCCGAGCGCTGTTTTTTCATCAAAATCGCATCTTGGTTTGTCGGAAAAGCAGTTTTTAGGGTAAAAAAACGAAAAGAATAAGTTTATAACATTCAGACTTCAAAATTTTACTATAATTTATTGATGTTTTGTGCAAACACCGTGGCCCATTGAAAAAAGGAAAAAAAAAACAAAAAAACCCCATGGGAGATGCGAACTTCGGTCTTCAGATCGGTGCGCGCGCCCACTAACCAGTCTGCCACCGCTGCACTTCTCTTGGAAGCAATAGATGAGAGTGAGGAAAGGACGACTTTTCATTGCCTGCCGTCTCCTTCCGGTGTTGCCTCTTTCCTATTTTTTACAAGTTGTTCCATGATAGATAAGGAAACAGACGTATAACACATTAAGGGCGTCGATAGAATTTTTTAATTATAATTGCTCTTAGTGGCAAATTTTGCGTAGAATCTTATGGTGAAAAGAAAATCGGTGGCGCTCACCTGTGTCACCTTCAAAACTTCCAAAAACTGAAAATTTTGAAAGTTTGGAATTTTCGGATGAGTATCAAAACTACTTAGAGGTATTCAATCTTTCTGAAAATTGGCAGAAGTATACACAAGACTTAGTTTTACCATAATATGCAAAAAAAAATTGGGGTCATCGCTGAAATTTTTTATTTATTTTAGCTGGAACTTTGGCTGAAAATTGTGAAACAAGGGCGTCGTTAGAATTTTGATTTTATTTCAAAATCCAATCCCCCAGTTCAAAAACTATCAGAATCCATTAAAAAATCTAATGGCGCGAACTTCCATCCAACACTTTTAGTCCACTTTGTCAGTCCCACTTCTATTTTTCGAAATTTTCGAATCAAAATAATAAAGTTATCGAAGAACTGATAATTTCATTGGATTCAGCGTAGTCGATTACATAGGGACAAGTTCTCACCAAAAAAATAATGGGTTTCTAACGCCCGGTACAAGCCTTCAAAGATGGATTTCTGAAAAGGGGAGAAAAATTTGGTCGCCCCGCCCCCTTTCATTGCGGTGCCTAGATATATCTGAACTTACCAAGGTGGGTCTTGGAGAGCCAAGACAAAAGGGAGCCCAACTGAAAAAATTACGCCTAACAATAAGATAAGATTTTTCATAACATTTAGAATCTTTCAGTTTATATCATTCTTTGTACATTTTTGTTGATTTTTTCGTTACTAAGCGTCAAACAATCTAATATCAGCTGGATAAAAAACTAATATCAGCTGAATAACTTAAAAATCAAGATGATGTAAAAAAATCGAAATTAAAATCGAAAATTTTTGATTTTTTTTTGAAAAAAAAAATCACAAAGGGCCCACACTTTTCTCGGCAAATCTTGATATGATATAGTTTTTTAAAAGTGTAGGAAAGTGTTTAAAACGATCAGAATTTGTGTTCATGTTCAATAGGAATTTCGAGGAGAAGAATGATGGGAAGAATGTAAATTCGCCGTTAAAAAGATTTGATATTTTATCAAATTCAGATTGATCCTTGCTTAACAATGATTATACGCATGACCTACTTTGAAGAATTTCAATTTTTGGACCTCTATGCGCCTTTAAAGTCAAAAATCAAAATGCGCGGTGCCTAGATGTGTTCATACTCTCCTGAAAGCTTCAAACGCGAGAAGTTAAAAAAACATAAAATTTTAAAGGGGGACTCCGACCAGAAATTTTTTTTGCATTAAAATGTGTTACAATTTATCTATTTTTCAAATATTATTGCGAAGATCCTGGTGGCGACGGAACCCAGTAGAAATCGTGTTGTCTTTTTCTCATTTTTATAGGTATACCGTAGTAGTGAAAATGGTTGATTGCCAAAAAATATAGACTATTCCAGTCAGTTGTAGGAATAAATAGAGTAATTCAAGAGGTAGAGAATATTCAGGAAAATTGGCAATAGGAATTCTCCAAAATCAATTAAGATTTTTGGATGATTCCTGGATAATTTGGACGTCTATTCAGTCAAGTCGTCATGAGGAGAGAATGAATACTAATCGTTGGTTCTGGTGGTTTATATACGCCGGGGGGGGGGGGGGCAAGGTGGGTCTTGGAGAGCCAAGACAAAAGGGAGCCCAACTGAAAAAATTACGCCTAACAATAAGATAAGATTTTTCATAACATTTAGAATCTTTCAGTTTATATCATTCTTTGTACATTTTTGTTGATTTTTTCGTTACTAAGCGTCAAACAATCTAATATCAGCTGGATAAAAAACTAATATCAGCTGAATAACTTAAAAATCAAGTATGATGTAAAAAAATCGAAATTAAAATCGAAAATTTTTGATTTTTTTTTTGA